CAGTGCTTGCGTCAACTCGATGTTGGACAATCGCCGGCCTCCTTGTACATTGTCACTTCATGCCTCTCTCACTACCATCACCACCCAAGTGTGAAGCAGTGTCATCACTTGCCCACTCCCACTCCAAAGTCTCGACCCGGACGCATGACAGATTGTATTGCCAAAGGCTGCCTCTGTCCTTCGCGGCTTCTAACCAAACCATCTCCAGAGTAAGAGCAAGGCACAAGCTCCCAGTACGCAACCCATGATGATGCTATCCCTCTTTCGCCTTCTGTTAATCCGTGTGATGATGGTGTTGAGGCCTGGAATCTGGGCTGCGGTGGACTGCAACCTGGAAGTGGCATTTTGGATGACGCTCCTCTGCTGTGCCAAGTTTGCTCTGGTTGCATAGGCTTGTCTGTGTGAATGTGTTCACCTTGTGTGAGCATGCAGAAGATGTGTGCAAGTCGTGGATGCATGCGCCCATGGCAAGACCACTCACTCCAAACTGCTATCGATCATCGAGTGCGAATTTGATATCCTGTCCCTCTCATTGAGCAAAGAAGCCTCTGCTGTAGCTTGACGGCTCTTGTACGCGCTTGACCAGGGGCGCGTGAGGTGAAAGAGAGTGAGCGAATGTCGATACTCTTCACGATCCCTTGCTCGCATTTGCTCGAGCCAACGGCCGGAACAAGCAGCGATGAGGCCTGGCAACCGACTAGGCGAAGTGATACTCTACTCTCCCTCTCCATCGAACTGCACATCCGCACGCACCTGATATCACCCCTGACGCCCTCCAGCACATCTCTCCTATCCCGCCTCTTTTCCACTCTAGCCCACTCCCTCTCATAATCCTCCACGACCTCGTGGTGTCTCCTGACAGCTGCCAGTTGAGCCGCTGAAGGGTGTGATCCCAAAGAAGCAGATAATTGAGAGTTGCACCTTCTGAGATCTGCCAAGAGGGCGGGGACGCTATGTGCCGAGCCGGAGCCTGTGCCTGTACCTGCTGCTGCTTCGAGATCTGTAGAGCTGGATGATGTCAATGCTGCGTCTATGCGCGACTCTAGCGAGCGTACTGTTCGTCGAATCGACTCGTAAGACATGATGAAATGCAAATCTTTCGCTCGCCGAGTCCTTGCAGTGTGAGGGTCGTGTGAGAGAGAAAATAGTCGGGAAAGCTTCTGCGGAGAGTGGAAACCGAGCTCGTTGTTATTGTGCCAGGCGTGGCAAAGCTTTGCGACAATCACATGAATGTGAATGTTGCCACTAGTGCACACGTAGGCGTGAGTCAAGGTGCACCCATTATTGTGCGCGCAACTCGTGAATCACGAATCAGAATCTCGACCGGCGCTTTAGGAGCGGCAGACATCAACAAGCCCCACCCATGCAAGAGACTCAACGACTGCATCGCGCGACAAGCTTCGTGCGAAGCGTGTACCTATCCCGGCACAGCGTGCGCGGCACAGTCACGAGGGTATAGATCCATCGGCCGGGGAGGAAGCGCGTTGCGCCCTGCTGTGGAAGCAATCACGAGCCAAGCGAAGACACGAATCTCTTTGA